CAATAGGAATTCTTAGAGAAAGTGCCAGGTTTTATATTCGATGACAGAGGGAAAAATCAGTAAATTTCAAATTTTATAGAAAGTTCAGTTTAATTCCATTTTTTTTATACTAAGAAGACAAGGATTTTCCAAAGTATTCAAATTTTAAATCGATATTCTAAAAATGCATAAATATCATTCTATTCCACCCTCCACTCGAAACGATACGCCTCAATCGGAGCTGAGTTCTAAGCGTTGAGCCACAGCTCCAACTCAATGGTTATGCTCAACGGGTTATGCCGTCTGATGAGCGTTCGACTGTGAGCCGGTATGGAGCGGCGTGTCGCGGCGTGAACTCGGGTCAAGCGGCAAGCCGAAGCTGAGCTCGCGCTCACCCGAGTTGCGGCTGAATCCCCGGTTGAATTTCTACCCGGGCAGCTTCCCGAGTCGAATAATTGGACCTGACAAGTTCTACTTAGGTCTTTCCAGTCAGAACTGGATAGGTCTTGGGAAGCCTCTTCCCAAGTGCTTCCGAGACCTTTCTATCTCTGGTTATGTCCCATTTCAGCACTTGTTAGGTGTAACCAAGACTTATATTCAGACCTTCCAAATCCTTGCCGGTCCGATTAATTCTATGGGCCTATAGAATCGTCTCCTTTTTTCTTGTATCCCGCCCAGAATAATTATAAAAATGACTATAATTAAATAAATAGCCGATTGGAGAATATGTAAATATGTTAAATTATCTCTCCACCTTTTTTGACTTTAAAAAAAAAAAAAAAAATCTGGACTGCCCGGGACTCGAACTCTGGACGTATTGCATTATGGCCACCCCCCATCTATGAACTATGCTCGATAATGCTTAACTTCGAAGATCGTCCAGAGTCCTGTTGTCCCGCGTGGCCAAACTGAAACACTTACTAGTATTCTTTAAAATTCAGGTTCATATCCCTCTTTACGCATGCGCTATTGAAATAAAAACTGCAATTATTAAATTTTTTGAAAAATCTCGAAAATTGACATTTCACGAGGGGGTGGAGGGGAGACAAATGTATGCGGAGGCTTGAAATTTTTGCCTAACAAGGGGAGAAGGTTGCAGAATCTATTTTAGCCAACCTCGTCCATCAGCTTGCATGCGTTGTCGAAATAAAAAATGAAATTGTTAAAAAATCTAACCCCCTTGATCTAGGTGAAATAGAAATTTTTTTATTTCCATATTTCTGGCGCCTCCGAGGGTTTCATTAACATCAGAATCATCAGTAGATATAGAATCAAACTTCACTTGCCAAAAAAATTCGATTTTGGCGAAAGTTGATTTTGGCGAAAGTCGACTTTGACCCTGAGTGAAAAACTTTTTTTTCAGTTTTCACATTTCCCACATACTTTTGAGTGTTCTGAATAGCCCGTCGCTTAAATCATTGGAATCGATGTTCACTCGGCTAAAAAAATCGATTTTGCCGAAAGTCGACTTTCCCCCTGAAAAAATCCAAGATCTGACACTTTGGCCCCCGGTGAAAAAAAAAAATTTATTTCGACATTTGTCGCGCCTCCGGGAGTTTCATTGGCATCAGAATCGTTGGAAAATACATGGCGAAAAAATTCAATATTGGCGAAAATCGACTTTCACCCTGAACCTTGATCCACGTGAAAATGAAAAATTTGTTTCGTCTTTTCTGTCACTTCCGAGGGTTTCATTGGCATCAGGGCGTCAATAAGTACAGAATCAACGTTCACTATTTTTTATTTAAACACCGCCTGCAAACGGGGAGATGAGGGTGGCTAAAATATATTCTGCAACCCTGTCTCCTCGTTGGCTACAAATTTCAACCCTCCGCATACATGCCTTCCCCTCCACCCCCTCGTGGAATCGCGTGGTCTCGGTAGTATTGTAGAGGAGGACTTCTCAGGGCCGAAAAGAACTGAGGATTCAAAAGGTCATCGGAAAAGTATGTCGCAGAACTGATTAGGACTTACCAGGTCAATCTAGGTCTGGAGAGTTCTTGAAGGACCTGTGTACGTCCAATCAGAACCAAATTTTCGATTCGGGTTACAATTTCCGGGGCGACGGGGATATCTTGTCTTTTTGGGAATTGATGAATAGAGATTATTAAAGTAAAACTTTCACGCAATTGTTGGAAGTAAATTCGATTTTTCGATGAAAAAAAAATTATTTTGAAAATAAGAAAAGCTTTCTTTAATAATTTTTTTAAACAATAGTCTTGGACGTATTTCCTTCCTCATAACATCGCCTGCATTCAATCCACATAACGTTTCCACTTTCACATAACGCGCCATTTTGGTGAATGCAGAAACATAAATTATTTATAACAAAAGTTTCATACTGGTGATAATTGTCACATTGCAGATAGAATTGTTTTCCTCAGATTTTTCAGCACTTTTTCTACATTTGAATCTCTTCTCTGACCTTTAAAACTTCATTTTCTCAGAAGACCTTGTGTTATTTTGGCACTTAAAAATAAATTATCAATAAACTAAACACCCAGCTGAGCACAAAATCAACTAGAACGTCCGTTTAGAATTCATCTGGGATCTCGATCTTAAAATTTAAGCTATGTTCATAAACTACTTGAATGTGTTTTAACATATATTGCAGCATTCGGGACCCTTACAATCTGGCATGGAATATTTAAAACTTTATCCGATGAAGGAATACCAACGCTTATGATCAGCTTCGAGCAGTTCGAAGACAGATTCGAGTTTTACGCTGGACTAACCGTTCGCCCGCTCGCAGTGATTATTTTTGTAACCATAGGAGATGTGCAGAGTTTTAGCGAAATTTCGCGGGATTTGGACATGAGCTACGCTGTATGGCTATTATTATTTATGGGGGATGCCAGCCCGGATGTCTGCGAATTTTGTCACAGCCCGTCCGGAAATTTATTGAATCTCAAGTATGACTCGGAAGTAGTTGTATCATGCTGCAAGTCGAACATTATTCAAGAATGGTGGTCTACACTGACAGAGCATACTAACAGCCTGGAACTTGGCCGATGGACCGCTGAAAATCGCGGAATCGAGTGGTTCTTCAATGATTCTCTCTACAGTCGAAGACATTCTATGGAAGGTCAAGAGTTTCGCATTGCCGCTGTCAAAGTAAGAGTTGCAGAAATTTTCTTAAGAAGTAGTAGAAAGATACCGTTTCCCCGAAATTTTTGAACGAATTTGACAAATTTTAACGAATTTGCTCAAACTGATTAATATTTTTCGAACCCGAAGTATATTGATCTTCACCATCGCCTCCTGAAGATTAGTGGGTAATTAGATAACATAGCAACTACTATTCATTCGGGATACTGATAGGTAAAAATATCAATAAAAGAATTTAACCTCCTTTGAGCTATACACTTAATAATATGTATGCTCATGTAGATGTACGGGACTTCCCATTCTGCGCTTTCCCTTCTAAAAACAGTTATGAAATTTCATTTATGAGATGTGCATATAAATTCAATGTGTGGTGAAGCACTTATTCTTAAAGTATCAAGCTTCACCAGCATCCAGACTGCATTACCCAGGGTTCGCGACAGGGACGCAGCTGGTATGAACACCACAAAGGTCAAAATTTGACCTAGTCACCCCCTTCAAGTTATTTACCTTATTGAGCCCGACTCAATTTTCTTGTTGATTCAATTTCTATTGGTATTAAGTGACGAAATAATTTAGCTTCCTCGAAAAATTCGTTGAAGCAGTTATATACTCTAATTACCGAAAAACTTTCAAGAGACTATGAGTGAAAATCTCACATTGGAGTGAAACTCGGAAAATTTCCCTTCCAAGCTCCAAATCTTCTAGTAAGAATGACCCGATTCTCCATAGGATTATCCTGCAAAATAAGTCTATGAGTGATATTATTTTGTTCAAATGGAATTTCTAACATTCAATCTTTATAAACATCTACATGAACAATGAATATCTGAATGACCGATCAACTTTGGGCTTCAGACATCCGTCTATTTTTGGGAACGGAACAGCAAATATTATGGATTTCTTGGTGAAATCTTAAGGGAACTGTCTGATTCGTTGAACTTCACGATACCACAAGTGAACTGGGGTACCAGTTACGGGGCTTGGAATCCAGAAACGTCAAGTTGGACTGGTATCATTGGGAAACTCGAAAACAACGAAGCTGATTTGGCGGTATCTGAATTTCGCATAACGCAAGAAAGACTCAATGTGGTTGACTATACAGTTCCAATTGGTGTTGGGGGTACCCGACTGTATTTGAGAAAACTTGATGCTGCTCGCCTACAGTGGAATGCTTATTTCAAGGTTCCAGTTAATCATGACTAGTTAATAGGAGTCTATTTGCACGAAATTAATTTTATTTTTTTATTTATAGGCGTTTTCAATGGACGTGTGGATGGTCATTATTGGCCTAATATTGACAATACCTATTTTTTTAACCCTCATGAGATATAAGAGGAAACACTATTATCTGCTTCCACTAGCCCTTGAACATTATTTATCCATTTGGGGTATTTACTGTCAACAAGGATTATCAGGTACTTGAGAATGAATTTTGTGTGAGATCTATTTCAGACATTCAATTTTACATGTGAACAACTTCCTATAGAGTTCCCGAAACCGACATCCTTGAGAATCGTTTATCTATCAATATTCATATCAGCGTTGGTCAGTTCAGGCGCATATTCTGCATCACTCATCAGTTTTCTCGCCGTTTCCTCCTCATATTCACCATTTAGTACGATAGAGGAATTTGTGGAAGATGGTAGTTATCAACTAATAGTACTGAAAAATAGCCCAGATTATTATATGTACAAGGTAATGAATGGTAATTCCTTAAGCGAGGGGCTGATCACTCCTCAATCGAGTGGCTCAGTGATTTCCAGAATCAGATGATTTCCTGTGATTTCCTGCCGATTTCTGTAACTTCTCAAATGATTTTTGTGATTTTTCAATCAGCATTAGAAATCATCATTTCTTTTGATTTTTTGTGATTTTCACGATTTTTTGTAGATTCTAATGATTTCTTGATTTCAAGGAATCATTGGAAAAATCATGATTTCGGGACCAGAGTTTGGCATCTGTGAATAATGGCAGTATTTTACATGCCGTTACAGTACGTAAGGATGTCAAAAACTTCATCGAACGCACCGATACAATAACACAAATTGTAGACTTGAAACTGCAAAATCAATTTCCATTTTACACTTACCGATGATTTCTAATGATTTCGGAAATCACCTGATTTCTTTATGATTTCTATTGATTTCCGATGATTTCCTGAAATCGTCAGAAATCACTACCGAAAATGGAAATCACTTGATTTCCAGTGATTTCCATTGATTTCTGGTGATTTCTTTCTTGATTTCCAGTCGAGTGGTCCAGTGATTTCCTAAGTGACAAGCCCCTCGTCCTCAAGACTATTTTCCTACTTAGTATCTTCCTTTCATCATATCTACATTGTTTCTCTTTGATTTTCTTATCACTATTTTACAGACTTCCAATCAGACGCTCATGAAAAAGATGATGTCCCTCATGAAACCGACGAATCTATTGCCTGATAGCTATCAAGAAGGATTTGAACAGGTATTTCAGTACACAAAAAATTACCCATATATCTAATCCCACTGTATAATAATTAATAGGGCAAGTGGGGGAGAAATGAGCATTAGGGATTATTCTGCAATAGCGGGTATAAAAATTTTTCCATTTGGCATGATTCTTCATGGACTTAATACCGAACTGAACTCCCTCAAAAGAAATCGTTCGTTCGAAATGATTCATATGCGTATCTCTCTCTCAAAAAGAGGGAGATGAGCTCTCGGACTGTAACACGTTTGGAGGTAGATCAGGACTTTTTGAGTTGTCAGGGAAGATAAAATTATTTGAATTACACCGGCATAGAACCCCTTTATGTCCCTTATTAGTCCTTCATTATTCTTCCCTAGCGATTTTATCGAAAATTGATCGAAATCAATTTTATCGTAATTCTATTCCGCTTTCTTCTCTTACTCATAATTTCATTGAATTCCACAAGAAAATATCCACCTTCACATTCGATGAAATTCATTGCACTTTACGCATAATTTAGCAAGTGCCCATTTCCACTGACATTGCGATGGAGATGACCTCTTTTCTGATTTTGGAATATTTATTTATATGCAGAATTTTTGAGTAAACAAAAAATTGTTTTCTTCATGCATTTACTAGACAAATTCATGCAGAATCACAAGAAAAATGGTCAAATCCGAAATATAAAAATAAGTACGTTAGCGGAGGCTCTCCGTTTAGGGTGCCCATCTCTCCCCAAATTCCTTAATCATGGGGATGTAATAAGGATAAAAACAAGAGGCTGGGAACTTTTAAAATCATGGTGTCACATGCCACTAAAATCAATTTGCAGTCACGTCGGAAATCAATGAAATCGCTGGCATCATTGAAATCACTGAAATCTCATGATTTCACACTGTGAAGTCATTTCCTGACATCATCTGCAGTCAATAAAATCAAAGAAATCAGTATATGCATGTAACTGACGTCCAAATCTCATTCTACATCCACAAAGCAAAATCATTATTATTATTTTTCTAGCGAATATCTTGGTATATTATGAAAAAAGATTCAGATACGTTATATCGACATCAAACAGTATCAAAAGACTATTTCACCTCCAAATTTAATGATAAGGGAGACTTGACAATTGACCAAAGAATTTTGAGAGAAGTAAGCAAATACTTTTAGAATTCGTTATCATAGTTTATTAGATATACTAGTAATAATTTGTAATTGTTCGTCAATATTTCGTGACAATAAGTTCAATAGTTCTGATGAATAATTCTTTGGTATCAATTATTATTTCGGTTCGGTGAAATTTTAATGATTTCAATGAGCAGAAGTCATTGATTTCAGTTGGATGAAGTCGATGAAATCGTGGTGAGTCATGAAATCACCGATAACTCTGCTGAAAATCGCTGAAATCATAAATTCAATGAAATCATTGAAATAATTAACGTAATCGAGTGAAATTGACTGCATTTAGCAGGCATAGTGTCACTCGATCTTGCAGTTCCCAGCCCCTCGGATAAAAAAGCTACAATAGTCGCAGAACACATGAGGGCCAGAAGCAAGTAGAGAGCGAATAATATTTATTTTATTGGGTATTTTTGATTGCCGCTAAGCTATTCTTTGTTATCGATTCTACGTAGAAAAGAATACATGAACAATTACTGTGGATCATGGTACAATGGGTTCATTTCGGTGAACTCGAAAAAAATCATGGACTAACGATTCATTGATTTTATTTTAGAGCAATATGAAAAAAAAAAATTAAAACAAAAGTGCGAATGTTCCAGAAAAACCGGAGATTTTTTTGTGCTTTTTGTAGACTGCATGCTTTTCATGAATTTTCTATAAAACCCGAGAATTTTAGCCAATTTTATTTTTTAAAAACGGAGAATGTTTCCGTTTAATCTTTAAGAAAAATGTAGAATTTTCTAGAATCCCGATAGATGGCGCTAGTCCTTAGGGATAATTCCGCGAATGATCTCAATATAAAATATAAGACGTGTCCACGTCAAAAAATTCCCGTGCTAGCAGGGGAAATTTTTGCTACGAAATGGGTTTTCCGTTAGAGCCAGGAAAAGTCCTACAACGCGCCGCAAAATTTCTGGTGTTGGCATATGATTTTTTTCGGGTCCGCTGGAACGAACTTATTTTACCGTGCAAGCACAGTATTTTTTCTCGCATTTTTTCCTCGGTACTTGTTCATAGAAATAGTTTTAAATAATCTCATGCTAAATTTCCAGGTATGCACAAAGAGAGTGGTATTTTATACCCACGAAGCTATAAGAAGAGCTATGGTCAATTTAATACCTTGTGAAATTACTGCTATAAATACTGGAAAAACCGAAACATTGGGAATGGCCCTCCCACGAGGTAGTGAATGGAGAGGGCTTATTAATTATCAGTAAGTCAACTTTATTCATTCAATATCAGTAAGGCAAGGATTTGCAATTAGAAACTAGGGTAAGCAGCTAATAATTGGAGTTGAATTAATTCAAGGATTCGACGATTCGGCGACAACGGAATGTTACAACGATTGGGTTATAAATACTTCACCGAGTACAATCGAAATGAACTCAGGTATCCCTCAGTGCATTTGCAAGGGATCATTCCAATTGTGGCAATGTTGGGTGCTGGATTTCTAATAGCTTCTATCATTTTCATCATAGAAACAATTTTTTGTTCGTCAAAGAAGAAGTCACTTAATCCACGTAGAAGAAAAAGTTTCTAATCAAACCTAAAACTTCCCTTTTTGATGTGAGGCTAAAATACAAATTGAAAACCATTAATCGAGGGGCTATTCATAGACCTATTGGGTGACACCGCGGTTACAAAATGTAATCGATTACCCAAGATCGATTACTCAAGATTACGGGACTGATTACATTGATTACCATTGCCTATGTGATAACCGTGTTTACCAAGAGCGCAGGATGTGACTACATGATTACAAATGATTTCGTCGATCACATTCTGTGATTACCAAACATCTGTAATCATTGAAATCACAAAAAATGACCTCTTATTAAATACGAATTGATGGAATAATTAATTATTAGAACCTGCAAAGAAATGAGCAAAGAGGGGCGGGGATTAGTACAGAGTAATGCAGTTTCCATCACTCCATCTAAAAATTTGGGCTTTTATAAGTACTATTAGCAATAGTATATTACGCAACAAGTGCGTAACCGCTTGCTGCCCGCACGAGTTGCGTATACTATTTTATACCATAAGTGCNTGAAATTCGAAGGGATATATTCAACGACTAGATGAAAATTTATTTTCACATATAACATTTTCTACATGAAAAATACTTTAAACGTTGGTTACAAATAAACTCTAAACTTTATACTTTTTATACTTTAATCTTTGGTTACAAATATAAAAAAATATAAGGAATGTCGAATCTCCATCAAATAAATCTCCCGAGAGATCAATCTCCTCGTCACTGTCGGGTATGATGTGGTTGTCCATTTAATTTCACTCCTTTTATATTGAATAAATGAATAAATTTAACGACTGAATATTGACAGGGTTATATGGATACCAACAAGTGAGGCAGTGGGCGATGTTATGAGTCGATGTGCGAGTCGATACGCAATGGATGTGTGGAATCTAACGATGATATTGCAACGACCATTTACGCATCGATCTGCGCATCGACTCGTGCATTTGCGCATGCCCATGGGTTACGCACGGGATTATATATAGATGTGTAGGGTTCCACACTACAGTGTGAAACCCGGCACTTTCTGTGCGTCGACACTCAACTGAAACCAGCCGGATTTCACGCACGTATGGTATAAAATAAATTTACTGAATATCTACCATTGATGGAGAATGAAACTTACCAGCAGATAATTCAGAGATAATTCAGTCGTTGGTTCTCCAGAATAAGAAGAAATTTTAACTCTGTGTTGAATCAATTTTCTACGGACAAATGCTCAGTGCAAAATGCATTGGCTACGCAAGGTTCTGAACCATAAACATCTAGGATTCCAAGAACAATTGATCCAAGGATCTCTGAGACTTACCGTTGGTAGAAATGACGCGCTCGAAAATTCAAAAATAAAATTCACCGTCTCACTAGGAGCAACTACGAAAGATTACACTGATTACAAATGATTACAGTGATTACAAATGATTACCACTTGATTACCAATATGGTAATCATGTGATTACAATGATTACATTGATTTCACTGGGATTACAATTGATTACATCAGCGAGTGACACCACGATTACGCCTGTGAATAGGCCCTCATCATTAATACTATTTAATGAAATAAATTATCAATATTTTTGATTGTCAGTGATATATATATATAATTTGTTATCAAATTTTACTGCAGTATTTTTTCAACAATTTCCCTTCAATTACTTTGATGGAAATTGCTCTATACGGAATGACTGATGGCCAAAACATGGATAGGAAAAATGAACCGGTTACCTCATCATATAATGGAATATACACCATGTACTGGGAATGCGATCACAATCATGAATGCGATACTGTGCCAACATACAAACGATTCCCTCGAGAAGTATACCTTATACGTTAGCGATCAATGTTCAGCTGTGCCATCACTAGCACGCACTTCCATTCCCTCGAGAACTATATAATGACAATTTCATGTTCAGAATGTAATATTATCCTCTCATAATCGTTAGGAAATAAAGAAAACAGTGGAAGATCATTCCGTGTGCAGCATCAACAATGAAAATTTGGAAACCGAAAACCTTATACGAAGCTTTGCTGCCGGCTTATATTATCCGCACAGTATTCGGTTTGGCTGTTATACATTATCCTAGGAATAAACCTAGAGTGACGCTTACAATTATCTATTCGATTGTTGTATTCACCACTTACGGGTACCTTTTCTTGTCTACTTTCTTCAAGGACTTGAATTCTTCTACCTTGCATACCCAGGAAAAAGTGATTTACATCATAGTACTAGTCTACAATGTGTGCATGATCTTCATTATAATGTCTGCATGGATAAACAGAAAAGTATATATTAAGTCAAAGTTTTCATTTTTGCTTCCGAATGGAAGCTTTGCAATCGTTCAAAATTAAGTTTCCAAATTTTTGTGTCAGGGTAACTAAATATGGTCTAAAAAGTCTAAATATGCGATTTTTAGGTGGTGTATGTGTGTATTTATGTATGTGTCTGTAGTATTTTTCAATTTTTTTTCTCCCAATTTTCTTTATAGGAGCTTGATGAAATTTCATGCATTTTTCCATGGATATAGATGTGAATAGGCTCTATTTATCGACACCAATTAACGTTGAATTATTCATAGAGTTTGTGAAATATTAGTATTTTTTCAAAAATCGATTTTTCGACGCTCAGTCCAAGAATTGTTATCAGAATGAAATGAATCATGGCTTAAAAAATTTGTATTGATAGCCTTTGGATTCTATCAGAATATGATGCGGATCGCATCTATCACTGTTGAGCTACAGCATTTAGTTTGTGAGATTTTTTTTTCATTTTTCTCATAATAAACTGGAAAAATTAACAGTCATAGCAATGAAATCATGGCTCAAAAAGATTGTTTTGCTGCTTTCTCGATGAAGTGCAAAGATGATGAAAGCAGCACAACTATTCATTAAGTTTCATAGTAGCAATATGAAGCTTTAGGTCATGTGGAGGTCATAAGGGGGTTATATGAGGTCATTTGGAAGTTACCTGAGGTTAGATGGTGTCATAATGGGCTCATATGGGATGATACAGGGTCATATGGGCTCATATGGGGTTATATGAAATTATATGGGTTCACATGAGGTTCATATAGGGGCTGTATGAGGTCATATTGGAGTAATATGGCATTATATGGGGGTCACATGACGACATATGGGTGTCACAATATAAAACAAAAAATAAGAGTAATAAATTTCAAAAATAGAGAATCCATTCGGAAGCATATTGCTAATTTGTTAGCAACATAAACTATACCCATATACAGAAAATGCGATTATCCACTTGTTTTCATTGTTCTTCAATTGAGAATTAAAAACAATTCCATTCATGGAATTTTAAAGATGGACATGAAGACGCTACTGATGACATCAGAAGTGGAGAATACCCTAAATGCACTGGGTATAAAATGCGACCTTCAACAAGTCGTTATTCTTCAGTTATGGGTCATCTTCCTCTGGGTTGTGATGTCAGTTGGATTAAACGTATCAGTATCGCTATGGATGGGGGGCAGTTTTCCGACATTGAAATATTATTTGGAATGCTCCTGCCTGATGCATGCTATCAATATCAACTCACTGATGGAGCTAGATTATTTTATGGCCATTAGGTATAAAATTTATTGAGCTTGATGAGTAAGTAAGAACATAAAACCATTATGAGTAATTGGTATTTGTGATAGACATGTAGCTCGACGATACAAAGACATTAATCAATTCCTCAAAAATATGGAATTATCATCTACTGATATGCAATTCAAGACTCAACACCGGCAGTTAACTGGAGCTATAAGAGTTTTCAGAGTGAATGTTGACTCATTCTCTTCTAAAGAGAAAATCAAAAGCTCTATACAAATCTTGAAGTATGTAACAATTTTATTAGAACTTTTTGGACGCATTGGCTGCAGTGTAAATTGTTGGTAATTCTAACTTCACGCCGATTTCTATAGAAAAATTGTGCAACTTTACCATTTGTTTCTTTTCCGTACTATCGGTCATTTTTCCTCGTTCCCGGGTAGAAATCACGCCGCTCGAGCTCGGCTCGGAACCCGTATCCCAGCTAGAAATATGCCACTCCGCCCCAGCTTGGGATAAACTCCACGCGCGTCACATGTGCCCGAGGTTGAGCCGTGTCACGCGCTCACAGCCCAGCGTTAGACTATTACGCGAAACGCTTCGCTGGGCTTTAGTTGAATGGACACTGCTCAACCTCAGGTTCATTTCCAATTACTCAATCCCAGCAGACTTAACCTCAATAATGATTTGACAGGTCCGATGGCATCGTGATTTGAGCGAAAAAACAATCGAATAAATGTGAAAATGGCATGCTTTTTCAGATGAACAATCACAAGCTCATCAGAAATAACGTGATATTAACTAATCGAATGGGATTAATCTGAAAATACAAGGTAGAACAATTCACTGAAACGTAGTCAAAACTTTCTTTTTTCTCGCGAATACAACAAACAAAATCAAGAAAAATAATCACTTCAAAAACGTTAACGAACCTTTATTATTAATTATCAACGCTACAGGAGAGGATATTCTTCATTTTTCGATAGACCTACGAGTTCTAAGAATATTCTACGATTGATTAGGGAAATGTTGAATACAGGTATGCCAAAATAACACGCATGAAAAAATTCAACAGAAAAACCTAGCGCTTTC